TGGGTCCTGGTGCGAAGAACAGACAATGGTAATCCACAATTCATTCACTTATAAGCATAAATAAACAAAAAAAAACCCTAGTAACAACAAAAGTAGCTCACCTTTTTCAGCCTCTAGGAGTAGGAAATTAAATAAGGGATCGCGGCAGCAAAAAGAAAAACAGAGGAAAAANGAAAAATGAAGAAGAGTGGGGCGCCCGGACGAGCTAAGCAGTGCGTTTCACTGCGCGCGTGTGGGTCCTGGTGCGAAGAACAGACAATGGTAATCCACAATTCATTCACTTATAAGCATAAATAAACAAAAAAAAACCCTAGTAACAACAAAAGTAGCTCACCTTTTTCAGCCTCTAGGAGTAGGAAATTAAATAAGGGATCGCGGCAGCAAAAAGAAAAACAGAGGAAAAAAGAATGGGAGAAAATCATCACCTCATCACTCGGCGATTAGCTGATTGTGCTTGGGTCCTAGAACGAATAATATTATAGCAATTTGTATTGTCTCGACACTCGTCTAACGTGACACCGATCAAGAGACGGGAACGCGAACTACGGCAACAACGGGGCTTCCACTATGCCCTAAGCGCCGAGATTGTGGAAGCGAGAGGCACCCTCCTACCACCCACGGGGGGCACTGAGTATTCCTAAAGGAAGAACTCGGTAACCTTTTTATCGTGAACGGTGCCTTTAATTTAAGATTAGGAGAGCGCGGGCATGCACCGGAAGGTCTGGTGCCAAGATAATACAACTTATTTTGATTTCTGGAGTGCCCAGGTGCTGCAAAAAATGGACCAAACCAAAACCCAGGAACGGTCAGAGGGAGGAGACATGTCCGCGAGGGGCGGAGCAACCTCGGAGTGGGCGGCACTTCCTTCACGAATTCATAAGTCGCCTTCAAAGAAGTGAACACTATGAAGCTAAGCGTACGGTGTGCATGGCGTACTTTCAAGTATACCTGGTTTAAAATATTTTAAGAATGTTTCAAAAAATGGGCAGAGGCTGTTGAAGAATGGTTAAATTGAAACGAGTTCAAATGAGCACATCTTAGCTTACAATGGAAGGATCCCAATTCGAAGTGGCCGTTTGGAGTAAAACCTCCATTGTTAGACGTGTTTTTGGATGCTGATCTCAAACCTGCTTTTCATATTTGCCGATTAAGGTGGTTTCAGGCGGGGCTTGAAATAAGGGAACTTAAAGATAGATCTACCAAGTTCCTCAGCAGTGGCGTAGAGCAGTGGTAAGGGTGAAGCTTCTGAGCAAGAGGCTAAGGTTCGGGTTTTGTGGAGGCGAGAATTTCGCATTATGTTGAATTTTTTCCTTGTAGCCTATGAATTCCTTTGATGTTGGTTTTATCGCTTTCTACGACCTTATGATGCTTGTGGTGTCGATTTCTCACTCAAAACATACATTGTCGCTTCACTTTTTTTGTATGTTCGTGAACGCTATATTCCCAGTAGGTCGAATGCGGTGTGGCGGCAGGTGGCGCCCTATCACACGGATAGTCCAGAGATCGAACTCCGCATGGAGTATTGTTCAGACCAAACAAGCCTTCCATTTCTACGGGATTGGTTAAATTGTATCAGAATCATCTGACAATGAGTCACTGACTTGTACATTGGCACCGCAAATCATTGTATAAGCTATATACACATTCTAAACGCCATTATGAATGGATATCGAATACGGGGCACATTCCAGAAGCTGAATCAATCAACGCCTAATACTTGATCCTTTCAATCCTTGATGTTTACTATGAAATTCCTGAGCGATATGCACACTCCCTGCAATCTCTGGTCCCAAGAGACTCGGAGGTGTAGATGATTTAATGCGATCGCTTTATGCAGGTACCCACTCGTTTAAACTGTGCCTTGAGTTTTCTTGATGGCCCCTATATCAGAAGTCCTTCGGGGTTTTGGAGTAGGACGGTAGTGTGGCGGCTCCAAATCCTCTAAGACCAACTTTGTTTGTAGTGGATTCGTGGACATTGTTCAAAGCTATTTAGGTCGCTTTACCTCCATAAGAGCAGGTAAAGGTAACGAGCATCGCTGCATGGACCACGAGGCTAACACTAGTTCATTTCTTGTCGCCGTTCAAAAGTATGATTATCACCTCGTACGTAATAGCCGTAATAGCCTACACAACTTTGATTTTCTTCTCATTTTATAAGTGCTTGTAAAACAATGCGATGGCACAGAATCTTTATTTTTATTAGTTGTCGTGTTGTAATAGTTCAGAGTGTTCGTTGTTGCGGTGCACCCAAAAACGTCCCCGGCCCTCCTGTTGATGAATAACACATGCAGCGCATGTCTTTGATTCATCAGGACACTGCGCCATACTGTATCCTAGGATAAGTCACTGGGTCAATTGGCCAGTAGCGTTTTACAAGTTCCCTTCCCCTCAACCTACTAGTATTTTTATTCAGAAGCCGGAATTATAATATTTAGTTTTAATGCGCTGAGGACCAGACCGGGCCCCTTAGTTGTTTGGCTTTGGTTCTCAAGTACCTAGCACAAAGTCTCCGTTTTCTTTTGAATAGTCGTTCTGTTTTCACAAATACGTCGACAATTTTTTAATGACCAGCCATATAGGATAGTAATGTCTGGATGAGCGAGATTCGTGCTTTGGACACCGCAATTAACCGTAATGTAAACCATGCGCTGGGTAACGACGCAATGTCGAACAACCGCCATTCCAACGGGATGATGTTCAGTTTGATGTGAAAGAGAAAAAAAGGAGCTCTCCAAAGTAGATTCCTGTATGTATACGCTGCTCGATAGATCGGGGCAACCGGCTGAATCATCATTTTTTTCATTCTGCTCCATCATTTTTCACCTGCTATTGATTGAAAAAATCAGTAAATTGTGGCATGCTCTCCTGCTGTCGTTCAGCAGTCTCTTGCTGCTTCACTCTGCCAGTTTCTTCAAAAAAAAAATAACGTGTGAATCATTAGGAATCCAGTTTAATGATAAACCCTTGTACCCAATGTTCATCTCTACCTATCTCCGTGTAACGAGTATTTTGAAGAGACCGAATGCATAGTACCGTTGAAATTCCGGTTTGATTACGTTCAGCAAACATTTCAACCGTCCTGGCTCATTCGTTCTCCTTTTGAAGACAGGGGTTTTCCATCAACAAGTCAGCGCAGTGTTAGAAACGTTTTTGATTTTTCAAAAACGTTTCTAACACTACGCTAGTTCAGAAGCTTTGGTCACGTACTATCTACATCTTCTTTTAAAAAAGGTGTCCACAAGTTTAAGTGACGATTTTTTTGAAGATCGAGAAGATTCAGTTTGTTCTATTACCTGAAAGAGTTTTCTTGAAAATTTTTGGTATCCGGGTTAGTGTTAGACCACGTCTGAGTAGGAAAACGGAGCGCGTCACGCTGACGGTTTTATATTTCTTTTCCAGTGAGGCTATGGTGATTAGGAGGGTCTCATTGGTGTGGTCGTTACAGCAGTGAATGGGCCTTCGGACATACATATTACCAGGTTCACAGTTCCGGCATAATGTGCTTTCTTCGCTCGTTAGACCGACTGGAATTGCGGTTTTCATGTATGACGACTTCTCGCAAATATTGACTAACATAGTTTTTATTAAAACAAATCGATCTCAACGACTGCCAAGTGGCTGTCAACACCGGGACATCGCAGGATGACCTGTCATTTTTTACACTCCATTTTCTCATTCCACAAACGATGTCTCCTGTATTTGATCGAGCGAGCCCTCAGTGAGCATATCTTATGGTTTCTTCCACATTTATCCATACTTTGCCTTAATGTGTTTTTACGAAGGCGCGCGATCGCTCAAGTAATCTATTTTATTCCTAGAATGATCTTCTAAATCTGAATGGTTTTCCTCTTTACTCATGTTTGGTAGAGGGGAATTGTGGCTGCAGTTTACCATTGCAAGTATAATAGGTTTTCCATCGCATGTTTACCTTTTGCATATCCATCTACGGGAGCAGTAAATTTGGGCCAAATGGCACCATAGTCTGAGGCAATTGTACCGATCGAGATTCACATCTTCGGCTGGTGCTCTGATCAAATTGGCTTGTATCAAAGATGAGAAGAGGCCTTCCCAGAGTTTTTGAGAGGAAGTTGTCTGAGGAATTATCTTTTGTTTTCTGTTTTCGATCGCCAGAACGCCTTGATTTCATTCGATTTCTTTTTTTTTTTTTTGGAACTGTTTCTTCAGATTGATCTCTGAGGGTTGTTACACCTGCTTTTCCTTTATATAGATGATAGCGCGAGGGTAGCTTATCGACCGGCACCCACATAGTTATCAACATTTTAAGTCATTTTATAGTTAGATAAAAATAGCCGCAGTTTATCGTAGAGAATCGTTGTGCGCGCCACGAACAGCAAGGGTCGAATGACGCACGGATACAGGCTAACGTCGGAAGCCTTTTATCTCTTTGTAGTCAGCTTATGGTTGCAGACTTGACTCGAAGTTGAAAACACTGACTTGAACAACGGTTGGCTTCCATAAGTTTTTTACAGACCAAATGAACTGAAAAAACAGTACAACCTTGAAGGGAAGTCGAATGAGTGTATCCCATAAAGGGATTGGTCAGGGTCGAAATACTTTATACTTCGCTTTGCCGTCGGCAATGAGACAAGTGAATCAGCCTCGTGTTTTCTGTGATGCCAATCTCTCATCGCTTAAAATTGTTAGATTAAACGGTTGTCCCGGAGTAAAACACGAGTTCACCTAAGCTTTCCATACATCGTTTTGTACACAACTAAGGTTTATGGATCATCCTCGCCATGATTCTGAATGGTTTGTTGGTCGTGACTTTCGAAATGTCACATGTAAAAAACGATGCATTCGAACGTGTGCATTTTGTTTATTGGCCAGACGATCTGTCCAAAACAGGACGCTTCTGGTAACTAATGAGTCCTCCCTTTTTGCGGCTAAAATTCTGTTCACGCTGTGTGAAGGCTACATTTCCTTGCTCGTACATGATTTGCTTCTGATCTCTTCATATTCCACATTTGCGTATTCAAGATGCCGCCCCGAATGCGGCGGGCTGCGCTCCTCACGTTGACTACCTTGCTGCTGGCTCTCAACCGAATGGCAACTGCCCTTTTTCTTATAAACTGGGACAGCGACATCATAGCCAGTGAGCAAGAGTCTGAATATGCAGAGGTAAGGTTCTTCGAAATTTGTTGCTTCAATTCCTCTTTAGTTTATAAGAGACTTTCAGAGAGACGCGCTCAGCATTCATTTCGGGGCTGACAAAAAGAACCTCACTATTTTTCCTTCTTACGAAGTCATGAAAGAAAGGTAAATTCATTTTGAAATTCAATATTGCCTTGACAAGCTGTTCCATAAATTTCCACGACTGTAAATTAGGACGGGTGGTGTGGGTCGGCATGCTTAAAGGCACCGTCAACGATAATCATGTTTCTGGGATTTCTCCCTAGATGAACCAGTGATCTGCAAGGAGAGCACATGTGATGCTGTCTGGTCGAAAAATGGCCTAGATAGGGCGTAATAAGAGCCCCAAAACGGACTAGACTGACTTCACATCTGGACGGGGCGAGTTTTTACGGTGTCGTATGAGCTGTAGAGGTTGTACCATTCGTATCGGGACCTACATCTAACACGCAAGCGGCTTACTGCAGCCAGCTTTATGCAATGGTGCGTGCATTTGAACAGCTCATCCAAACATCCCTTTCATGCTACTTCTGTCGTCACGTTCTCGTCCAACTCCTAATTTTACTTCTTCTTCGAGGCCTTGTGTTTCTCTGGATATTTTCTCTGATTTTCGTTTTTTCTCCACTTTACATAATCTGGACTATATCTTCCATTGTTTGTCTGAAATTGGCTACCATAAACGTACCGCAATTGTGCTTTTAATTGGACAGTTTCATCCTGCTGGTTTCGTTCCATATGGTGACCCTCGACATGTGGCGCTTCTGCCGTTCACCTGAAGCCAATCGTCGCGTTGGAATCACCAACGATAACCATGTAGAAAGTATGGTCCTCTTTTGAGAGGCTTTCCAGGTCCATATAGAACGCTCCCAGCTTCTTCTTTGTAGCCTGTTGTTGGTGCATAGGAATCGAAGAGCGTTTGGTTTGCGGCTTAAACCCTTCTTTTCCATAGCGACGATCCGCTTCGGGTGGTCAAGTTTCCGTACGAGTCGATGTCATGGTGAAGTGCGCGTTGATGAGGACACCAACATCGCCGTCGCTTCTGCTGTTGTCTATACTAAGAACAGTTTTTCTCCAATTTCAGAAAGGGCGTGGAGCGGGCGATACCTTCTCGGGTCTTCTACATAGTCCAGTGACGCTGTACTAGATCTTTCTTGCTTACGTTGTCTTAACATACACTCCCGTTTTTGCAAGCGTTCTGTATTAAAAGCACAGATAGCCATTATAGTCCTTCTTCTCCTTCTGGGTCGCCTGTTTTGGCCATGAGATATCAGCAGCATCTTTCGAGTGGTCCTACGCGATGCTACCACTTGCCACCTTGGAAGCTCCCTCAGGTTCAGAAGAATGAGGCCCATTTTGATATGGGTGCCCACGAATAGTCTCCTCACTCTGACGTGGGGGCTTAGTCACTCTGGGCAGCTAGCCAGGCTACCCCGAAGTGAACGAGGGGCTTTGATTTTGGCGGTCCCGAATCGCCTGGATATTTCCCAGTCACTCGAATGCGAGCTTTTGGTTGAGCCGATTTGCAAGACACCAATCGCACATATGCTCTCCCCACACATATGTATGCGGAATTCAGGAAGTAAAAATCGACTCAGTCCAGCAGAAACAGAGAGTCCATATCGCTCAGAATATACCTGTGTCTCTGTAGACAGCGGTGACGTTTGGTCCGCTTTTCACTCCCCTATCCCCCNCCCCCCCCCCCCCCCCCCCCCCCCCCCTGGAGCAGCCTCATCACCAACCGGCCAGAGATTCTGCAGTGAGAAAGAACCTCCAGTGGAGGGAAACCGTGGCATATACCTGAATCATAGATGATTTAAGCATTTTTATTATTTTAGCATATGCTTGCAATATAAATAAAAGCTACTTACCAATCTAAGAAAGGAAAGGAAAGAGAGAAGCGCCTTCTGCCTGTTACAGAATTGGTCCGTTCAAAGATGTAGATCGATCGAAACTGGTCAATCACAACTACGTTGAAATGACAGCTTGGCTAAAGGTATGACAGACAAGATGTACAGATTTTTCTATCATCACTACTTCTAGTAGGTTTTGGGGTTTGGATCGATAGCATTCTACAAGTTTATTGACTGTTTTCAGGCAACAGTACTCAACTATCCGAACATAACATACTTGTACTCGGTGGGGAAAAGTGTACAGGGTCGTGAACTCTGGGTTCTTGTTGTTTCAGACAATCCGAGAGAGCACGAATTGCTCGAACCTGAAGTGAAAATCGTGGCCAATATGCACGGCAATGAGGTTAAGCTTACTTTTTATGCTGGACCTTCGTGCCATTGATCTTGCTTCCTAACCTAATTCTTTATTTAGGTAGTGGGACGAGAGGCTGTGCTGTATTTAATCGAAGTTCTATGTTCTAATTATGGAAAAAATGAATATCTAACCAAATTCGTGGACAATCAACGAATCCATTTCATGGCGTCGATGAATCCGGACGGCTATGAGCATGGGCTTCCTGGAGATCGCGTCGGATTTTACGTTGGTCCTCTTTGATATCCCACTTGATATTTTTTGTTACATATAATATTAATAATACGGTAATATAATAGTACGGTGTAACAAGCCTTAGAACAATATGTGGTCATCTAGTGCACCTTCACGAAGTAGCGATCTTTTTCATGCATCTAGTAATAAATTGAGAATAATAATAATTTGAGGATAATCGCTTTACTGCGTAGTTGACGCAGAATATCGAATAATATTGATTAGCGAGCTACAGCTAGTATAAGCGATAGAAAGAGGATTGTGGTGGTGGGGATGGATGATGGGTTTTCTTTGGCCTCGAGGTAGCAAAGGTCTGAAGAGCGGGGATTGCGGCCTTATTCCAGTCGCCGTCATCAACCTCTTATGGTCGCTCGGCTTGACTCCCGACTTCGTGATTGGTATCACACGGTATCTTTGATCTCATTGGAATTGGTGGCTGCCCATTAGGCGCAAAGTGATTTCATTGACACACAAATGCTGAAACATGAACTGTGTCCAGCTTCGAGAGAAAGTCGAGGCCTAGGCGCTGTCCCGAGACCCATGCATGGTCTATCGTTTATCAGATAAGGCAGAACTCTGCACTCCAGAAGAATCAGTAAGTACACATAGGTTCCACACAAGGGCTTGGATGGAGTAAAGGCTGGCAGGAACGCTATGCATTCATAAACCCATTATTTTTCTTTTCGATTCTTTCATTACCAGTTGTTTGGGCAGCAGCTCGTATTTGATCATAGCGGAATCCAATATTGACGACCAACACGGTCGACCTTTTTGAAACAAATAGAGATTTTATTCAAACACGTATTATGACTGAAAAAGTTGAGTTTTCAATCGATTGTTCGTCTTGAAAACTATTCTATTTATAGGGACGTAGCAACGAGCACAATGTTGACCTGAACCGCAACTTCCCGGCAAGGTTCCCGTCTCATCGTGAACAGTCCGGAGGTGGTGATCCAGAACCAGAAACAGCAGCAGTGATGAAGTGGCTGGAGCAGTACCCATTTGTTATCAGCGCAAATTTGCATGGAGGTTAGGCTTGAAAGGAACGAATCTCTATTGTGATTCTTGTGATTCGAATCTCATTCAGTGGTAGAGAATTGTGATCCACTTGATAGTTTGTGATATTGGGCCTTCGTTTTGATAATTGAGAATATCATCGAAGGAAGGAGGGAGAGCTGTTAATGGAACCAGGTTGCTAAAATTTCAGTGAAATCTGAGCAATCTGTTCACCAAATAGGTGCATTCCATGTCATTCGTTCGTTTCCAATTGTGGTCACTGTTCAGGATCACTCGTGGCCAATTATCCTTTCGACGACTCTGTGACTGGTCAGGACCACATCTATTCGGCAGTAAGTTGTTCACCAATTTCTCTGATGGCCTCCTGGTTTCTCTGCTAATTTAACTCTAATTCTGCCTCGTTCGATGATTCTCAGTTTTGATTTTTTTCAATCTTCATCCCCAACCACGAGATAGTATCTCTGCAAAGAATATTTTCCACCTTATTACCAACAAAGGGTATTTGTTTACTGACCATAGGACAGTTAACATGCAGACCTATTGTGTCTTAAATAAGTGCGACAAGCGTAATTTATAGCTGAAATAAGCTAATGGCGACCTTGAACAAGTGCCAGGTTCCAGAAGCCTTTAATGGAATAGAATAGCGCTTTGCAAACTTTTCGACGTTAACGGGGAGCAAGTGAATTACCACAAGTCACATTGACGCTTGGCATCACAGCGACAACTGTGCATTTCCAATCAACACAGTCTTCATACGAGTTTCGACTGCTCATATATTCCTTGTTGAAACAGTATTGCACTTTTATTATAATTTCCATATTCGTAAACAGCATGAGTGGCTTTCCTCTGTGTTCATATCCACCACTCCAACTCGAGCACCAATGATTTTTTGCTTGATAATAGCGTAATTTTGAATATTCATTGAGGGTGCATTTAAAGTTAAAAATGGTTCTTGAAATAATTCCCCGGGATGAAGCTGTGCCCCCAAGTTAGCCTAAGGGTCCTGTCGGGTTGGAAAACAGTGAAGATGGGCTGTAATAAAACGCCTCGCCTCAAAACCGGTTCAGCTGGACGAGAAGCGGACGAGTTGTTAAGCGTTTTAAAAGCTGTAGAGGTTGCGCCATTCGCACAGGGACCCCCATCTTGCAGCAAGCAGCGCACTGCAGCCAGCTGAGTGCAATGGGTGTATGTCGTTTGGCGCGATGGGCGGGATCGCGCCGCCTCAAATGGGCGGCGCGACCCCGCCCATCGCTCCAAACGACCGCCTCCCAATGCAATGGCACGCGCGTTAGAGTAGCACGTCCAAATACCCCTCTCATGCAGGTTTTTCTCGTCGAACCCAAAATTTTACTTTTTTTGAAGCCTTATTTTGAAGCCTTTGATACGCCGATTTTCGCTTTTCTTCGCCACTTCTACACTATTTTAGACTATCACTTCCATTACTCGTCTGAAATTAAATAACTCAAAATTATCGTGAACTGTGCCTTTAAGTAATTGTTTAGACTCCTGACGACAAGCTCTTTGTCGAATTAGCCTACAGATATGCTCGCGCTCACCCGCGCATGTGGAAAACTGGCCGGCGATGTGGCCTGTCTGTTGATGGGGATGTCTTTTTGAATGGGATCACAAATGGGGCCGATTGGTGAGTTTCAGTGAAGCACTTATGGGTTTTGCATGGATCCACGTCGGTTATTTGCTCAGGTATCATTTGGCTGGCGGTATGCAGGATTGGCAGTACACGCACACGAACTCGTTCGAGGTCACGATTGAAATGGGTTGTTACAAATTTCCTACAAACGATATGCTGCCAAAGTTAGTTTTCAGGTTTAAATGAACTTTTGTCTTCCTCACTCATAAGAATTCAGGTGGGGTTTCCACTTGATCAGTCAAAAAGGTATGTAAAAAGTGTTAAAATGTTGCTCAAAGTTGGGAATTGAGTCAGCTGGGGATGAATTTGTACGAGTTGGTTTAAAGGGCGACTCATAATGAGCAGGAGAGCAATGAAGGGTTCGTACTTAAGAAGTATTTAGCCTCAGGTATCAAGGGGAGACGGGCGGACCATTCGCCTCGCTATTTCAGTTCCAGCGTTCTTTGTACAGCTCAATCGCTACTCGCTGCGATTATTACTTATGGCACGATGCTACTGT